TCATGTCATGATCAGTCTCCAGCTATATAGGCTTGAGACCCCCATCCCTCTGCCCACCCCTCCTCCTCTCCACCCCTCCTAAATTACTACATTCCTTCCCCTAACCTGCCAATAGAAGCTAGGTAAATGAGGAGAGAAAGAGCCAATAGCAGCTAGGTAAATGAGGAGAGAAAGAGCCAATAGTAGCTAGGTAAATGAGGATGGAAAGAGCCAATAGAAGCTAGGTAAATGAGGAAGGAAAGAGCCAATAGAGCTAGGTAAATGAGGATGGAAAGAGCCAATAGAGGCTAGGTAAATGTGGAAGGAAAGAGCCAATAGAAGCTAGGTACATGAGGAAAGAAAGAGCCAATAGTGCTAGGTAAAAGAGGATGGAAAGAGCCAATAGCAGCTAGGTAAATGAGGAAAGAAAGAGCCAATAGTAGCTAGGTAAATGAGGATGGAAAGAGCCAATAGAAGCTAGGTAAATGAGGAAGGAAAGAGCCAATAGAAGCTAGGTAAATGAGGATGGAAAGAGCCAATAGAGGCTATGTAAATGAGGATGGAAAGAGCCAATAGAAGCTAGGTAAATGTGGAAGGAAAGAGCCAATAGACGCTATGTAAATGAGGATGGAAAGAGCCAATAGAGCTAGGTAAATGTGGAAGGAAAGAGCCAATAGGAGCTAGGTAAATGAGGAAGGAAAGAGCCAATAGAAGCTAGGTAAATGAGGAAGGAAAGAGATCGTCAGGTAGCCCTGTCAACAGACAGTTAGAAGCAGCTAAATGTCTACTACATAGAAGTAGAGACAGCAGTAATTATGTATTTGTAGGGCCAAAAGTTTTTGCTAACAACGTGACCTGACCAGGAAAACTGTGGGAAAACTACCGGTAGGTAAAAACATAACAGTCTGATTTCCATAACAATTACTATGTTAATTCTGAAGCGTCTTTCTTTCTCTGTCTTTGATAAAGTTACACGGAAAGCTGTTTTCCTTGGATACAGCAGCTGACTTTGTAACAAACAGAACTTTAGGTGGCTTTTCTGTGCTTCTCTCGGCTTCCGGTTGGCACATTCTGTGTATTGGAAATGGTTTATTTTATTTATTTATGTTGATTAAGGCGTCTCGGACTCGGACCGCCCAGTGGAGATGGAAATTCCTGTTTCCTGAAGAGAGAAATGTTTCTTTGTTTCTCTGCTGTGTCCTCGTCTCTCAGTTCAGAGAAGCTTTGAAGGCTTTGATTATTACTTAGTTGACATTTTTATTATTATTGTGTGTGTGTGTTGTAATTGGCCGCAAGATGAAAGTACCCGACAGAGAGGTCCTAATTAGGTCATATATTTCAGGGAAAGTTTTTGTAAGGACACAACAGACAGGCACAATGATGAGAGCCTGAGGCTGGGAAGAGAAGTTGTTGACTTAACTTATTAAAGCTGATCTGCCCTCTGAATTCTTTTTTTTTTTTTTTTTTACGTATTAAGGAGCTGGGCTTCCTTGGGATTCAGGATGAGAAGACATGCAAAGAATGATCATCCTATCCTCTGCTTTCTCAGAGCCTCTAACCAAATTATTACATTACTATGTCATACAGATCATCCTATCCTCTGCTTTCTCAGAGCCTCTAACCAAATTATTACATTACTGTGTCATACAGATCATCCTATCCTCTGCTTTCTCAGAGCCTTTAACCAAATTATTACATTACTATGTCATACAGATCATCCTATCCTCATGCTTTCTCAGAGCCTTTAACCAAATCATGACATTACTATGTCATACAGATCATCCTATCCTCATGCTTTCTCAGAGCCTTTAACCAAATCATGACATTACTATGTTTGCCAGTACAGAAGTATGTCCGTTCCAATAACAGTGGCATTAACATATTGCTGTGTAACATTGAAATCCTCTACTTTGTGTTTCCTGAATCCTAACAACTCTTAGTTTTTGTTATGGGTGTGTTCTGTATGGAAGTAATCTAATAGCTTCATGTTCTGAGAGGTTAGTCTGATATTGTGTTGAATAGGTGTCAGCGGGCTGTGTGTGTGAATGGGAATTTGAAACACAACTCTGAGTTGAAGAATGTGCTGAAATGGACTGTGGACAGGCAGGCAGCGGTGGGGGAAACAGAGCCTTTCTCCAACTCTCCTGCTGCTGCAGGAAAATGAAGTTGGTCATGCCTGGAGGACTAAGCATCCATTGTTGGATCCACAGACTGGGTCTTATTCACGTCTCACCGCACCACCACCCCACCATCCCTCCATGCCACCACCATCCCTCCATGCCAAACATCATCCCTCCTTCCACCACCATCCCTCCATGCCACCACCATCCCTCCATGCCACCATCCCCATGCACCTCCCTCCATGCCACCACCATCCCTCCATGCCACCACCCTCCCGCCATTCCACCACCCCATCCCATGCCCCCACCATCCCTCCATGCCACCCCATCCCTCCACCACCACATCCCTCCATGCCACCACCACCCCATGCCACCACCATCCCCCATGCCACCACCCTCCCCACCATCCCTCCATCCACCAACCCCCAGCCACCACCTCCATGCCCCCACCTCCACCACACCATCCCTCCATGCCACCACACCACCCCACCATCCCTCCATGCCACCACACATCCCCTCACCATGCCACCATCATCCCTCCATGCCACCACCATCCCTCCATGCCACCACTATCCCTCCATGCCACCACCATCCCTCCATGCCACCGCCATCCCTCCATGCCACCACCATCCCTCCATGCCACCAACATCCCTCCATGCCACCCACCCACCACCATCCCTCCATGCCCACCACATCCTCCATGCCACCACCATCCTCCATGCCACCACCATCCCTCCATGCCACCACCATCCCTCCATGCCACCACCATCCCTCCATGCCACCAACATCCCTCCATGCCACCACCATCCCTCCATGCCACCACATCCTCCATGCCACCATACCCTCCATGCCACCACCATCCCTCCATGCCACCACATCCCTCCATGCACCACCATCCCTCCATGCCACCACATCCCATGCCACCACCATCCCTCCATGCCACCACATCCCTCCATGCCACCACCATCCCTCCATGCCACCACCATCCCTCCACCACACCACCCTCCATGCCACCACCATCCCTCCATGCCACCACCATCCCTCCATGCCACCACCATCCCTCCATGCACACCACACATCCCTCCATGCCACCACCATCCTCCATGCCACCACCATCCCTCCATGCCACCACCATCCCTCCATGCCACCACCATCCCTCCATGCCACCACCATCCCTCCATGCCACCACCACCCCACCATCCCTCCATGCCACCACCATCCCTCCATGCCACCACCATCCCTCCATGCCACCACCATCCCTCCATGCCACACCCAATCCTCCATGCCACCACCATCCCTCCATGCCACCCACCATCCCTCCATGCCACCACCATCCCTCCATGCCACCACACCATCCCTCCATGCCACCACCATCCTCCATGCCACCACCATCCCTCCATGCCACCACCATCCTCCATGCCACCCATCCCTCCATGCCACCACCATCCTCCATGCCCACACCCCCCTCCATGCCACCACCACCCATCCCATCCAACCATCCACCACATCCCCCATGCCACCATCCCCACCTCCCACACATCCTCCATGCCACACATCCTCATGCACCACACCCCATCCACCACATGCTCACCACCATCCCTCCATGCCACCACCACCCACCATCCTCCATGCACCACCACCCACACCACCACCATCCCTCCATGCCACACACCATCCTCCTGCCACCAAGCCACCACCATCCTTCCATGCCACCACCACCCCTCCATGCCACCGCCACCCCTCCATGCCACCACCATCCCTCCATGCCACCACCATCCCTCCATGCCACCAACATCCCTCCATGCCACCACCATCCCTCCATGCCACCACTATCCCTCCATGCCACCACCATCCCTCCATGCCACCACCATCCCTCCATGCCACCACCTTCCCTCCATGCCACCACTATCCCTCCATGCCACCGCCATCCCTCCATGCCACCACTATCCCTCCATGCCACCACCATCCCTCCATGCCACCACCATCCCTCCATGCCACCACCATCCCTCCATGCCACCACTATCCCTCCATGCCACCGCCATCCCTCCATGCCACCGCCATCCACAACCATCTGTTTCAAAGCATCTCCAGTCAGCCCAGTATGTCGCTCTTCCTGTCTCTAATGCATGGAGTGTGAGGAAGGGAGGGGTTTAGGTTGGGGTATGTAGGGCGAAGGGATGGAGGGTGGTTCCTCAAAGGTCATAGACTCAATATCGAGGCTCAGATGGGAGTGGGATAAAGCCACCATTCATCCTCTACCAGGAATGGAAAAGGTGTTTTCTCCTGAACTGAGGAACCACTGCCAAAGAAACAGGGTAGAGGGGGGCCCAGGATTAGGATCGACTAGCCTGCGGGGGCAACAGAACGCTCAAATACCCGTCTACGGGGCTATAGTCAAATATTGAAGCGGCCAAAAGCACCAGACAGCGTTTGTAGGTTGGCTCTACACCACAGCAGACCAGGAATGAAAAGCCAGTCTCAACTCAGTCCTACACGGACCATGGACAGCACATCATAGACTACCACTACTGTAGGTAGAAGTTACCCCTATGTAAAAGACGGCCAGCAAGTTATACAGTATAACTTATGTGATTTATTTAATTAAGTTCAGCAGTCACAATGGAGCTGGGTAACCAGGATCAGCTACCACCCGTTTTATGATTAAAATTAGCATTGGGAGCAGGGGGAATCTGATCTTAGATCTGAGGTTAGAGGCAGCTTCTACGTGGAGCGCGTCCATTACTGGGGCTCTCTGGGTGGATGATAGATCTACTCCATCAGCACCGTGTGATGGCATGATATCGCTATGGTATTCTGATGTTATTGTCTGAGCAGAGAGGATCAGACCCAGCTCTTACTAGGTACCCCTTTCCTGTAGTTGAATGACCAAAGTGCCCTCTGGTGGCCTCATGGGTGGAATATTATTAATATTTTTCATAATTTCATAATAAATAAACATTTCTTGATTTTTATGCAGAAAATCCAGTCTGTCGAACAGTTTTGTTATTATTAGCTGTCTTCCGTGATGCATATAAAGTGTAATATTGGGATGCAAGCTCAAGATTGAATATATTTCAACTCTATATCTGACATGATTTTTTGAAGCCCATAACAATGTGTGTGAGGTGTATACTTTTGTTCCCAAAGTAGATTTGTTAAAGACTACCAAGAAACGGATTTAGCTCACTGCAGTAAAAATTTACTGAATTTGTTTTGAGAGCCACTCCAATCCAAAAATGACTGTTATGACAGGCTACATCAGAACTACGCCAAGCAATCTCAAAATGCCTTAGCGCCATATTTTATATTGAACATATTGTACAAAGATGCCCTTAATCCAACTAAATATCATTGAACACCAGTAGGTGTTTTATCTAAGTGGTAGCTAGCTACAACACCGACCAGGAACCAGGGAGGTCTCAGTCTCTAGGGTTGACCTACTGTTAGAGAGGGTGTCTGGTATCCATGGGTAATGTTTGGATGAACCGCTCCCATCGCAATGAGAGGTCGGACACAGAGACAAACAGAGAAAGGGTCAGTTTGTTTGGGATTCTTGTGAAAGAGATTGCTAGCAGTTTCACAAAGCTTTGCTAATGGAAAACAGCTGGTCGTTAATACAGCTAGAACCTAAACACCACCAGGGGTATTTGCTTTTGTTATAGACCCTTTAGCTAAGGGTGTGGGTGTGTGTGTGTATGTGTGTGTGTGTGTGTGTGTGTGTGTGTGTGTGTGTGTGTGTGTGTGTGTGTATTTTGTTTTTTGTCCTTCGTCCCCCCAAGCCCCTACAACCCTCCAGAGGAGTCCGAGAAAATGTATGTTGTACTTTGTGTCCATGGTCTTTTTTGTCGAGCAACTGTTTTGATTTTCCCATGCAGAGTGAGCGAGATTTGCTGAAATACCACGCTTTAGAAAATCCCTTCGATTAGCTTACCTTTTTTTCCTTTGGCGATTTTCAGTGTCTTAGGGGTGAAGTATTTCTGAATGTTGTTTTAATTAGATCTACCGCTCTGGCTGGCTGCTACATATGTGGACAATGAGTCTTTTGGAAAACCCTCATTTTGAAATGGAGGTTCAGGATGAAATGGTGGTCCTCTGTAGCTCAGCTGGTAGAGCACGGCGCTTGTAACGCTAAGGTAGTGGGTTTGATCCCCGGGACTACCCATACACAAAAAAATATATATGTATGCACGCATGACTGTAAGTCGCTTTGGATAAAAGCGTCTGCTAAATGGTAAATTATTATTATATATTATAGGATAAGTACTGTTGCTGAAAGTGATCACAGAGAGTATAATTTGTATCATAACAAGACTAAAACCACACACTCCAGCTAAACTACCAGCCTAAATCTCTCAGAAAAATACTGTTATTAGATTTATGTGATATTAGTGCCCTTCGTTTTGGTACAGATTACAATTTTGATACTCATCACTGCATCTTGTATCAAAAGGTTGGCTGGACTTCGCTAAAGATCCGTAAATCTCGACATTATTTTCATGGCCCTAATTCATAAACTTCCATCTTACAGTGAGGGAAAAAAGTATTTGATCCCCTGCTGATTTTGTACGTTTGCCCAATGACAATGACATGATCAGTCTATAATTTTAATGGTAGGTTTATTTGAACAGTGAGAGACAGAATAACAAGAAAAAAATCCTGAAAAACGCATGTCAAAAATGTTATAAAATGATTTGCATTTTAATGAGGGAAATAAGTATTTGACCCCTCTGCAAAACATGACTTAGTACTTGGTGGCAAAACCCTTGTTGGCAATCACAGAGGTCAGACGTTTCTTGTAGTTGGCCACCAGGTTTACACACATTTTGTCCCACTCCTCTTTGCAGATCTTCTCCAAGTCATTATGGTTTCGAGGCTGACGTTTGGCAACTCGAACCTTCAGCTCCCTCCACAGATTTTCTATGGGATTAAGGTCTGGAGACTGGCTAGGCCACTCCAGGACCTTAATGTGCTTCTTCTTGAGCCACTCCTTTGTTGCCTTGGCCGTGTGTTTTGGGTCATTGTCATGCTGGAATACCCATCCACGAACCATTTTCAATGCCTTGGCTGAGGGAAGGAGGTTCTCACCCAAGATTTGACGGTACACGGCCCCGTCCATCGTCCCTTTGATGCGGTGAAGTTGTCCTGTCCCCTTAGCAGAAAAACACCCCCAAAGCATAATGTTTCCACCTCCATGTTTGACGGTGGGGATGGTGTTCTTGGGGTCATAGACAGCATTCCTCCTCCTCCAAACACGGCGATTTCAGTTGATGCCAAAGAGCTCGATTTTGGTCTCATCTGACCACAACACTTTCACCCAGTTCTCCTCTGAATCATTCAGATGTTCATTGGCAAACTTTAGACGGGCCTGTATATGTGCTTTCTTGAGCAGGGGGACCTTGCGGGCGCTGCAGGATTTCAGTCCTTCACGGCGTAGTGTGTTACCAATTGTTTTCTTGGTGACTATGGTCCCAGCTGCCTTGAGATCATTGACAAGATCATCCTGTGTAGTTCTGGGCTGATTCCTCACCGTTCTCATGATCATTGCAACTCCACGAGGTGAGATCTTGCATGGAGCCCCAGGCCGAGGGAGATTGACAGTTCTTTTGTGTTTCTTCCATTTGCGAATAATCGCACCAACTGTTGTCACCTTCTCACCAAGCTTATTGGCCATGGTCATGTAGCCCATTCCAGCCTTGTGTAGGTCTACAATATTGTCCCTGACATCATTGGAGAGCTCTTTGGTCTTGGCCATGGTGGAGAGTTTGGAATCTGATTGATTGATTGCTTCTGTGAACAGGTGTCTTTTATACAGGTAACAAACTGAGATTAGGAGCACTCCCTTTAAGAGTGTGCTCCTAATCTCAGCTCGTTACCTGTATAAAAGACACCTGGGAGCCAGAAATCTTTCTGATTGAGAGGGGGTCAAATACTTATTTCCCTCATTAAAATGCAAATCAATTTATAACATTTTTGACATGCATTTTTCTGGATTTTTTTGTTGTTATTCTGTCTCTCACTGTTCAAATAAACCTACCGTTAAAATTATAGACTGATCATTTCTTTATCAGTGGGCAAAAGTACAAAATCAGAAGGGGATCAAATACTTTTTTTCCCTCACTGTATTTAACTTTGCTGTGGAAGTATAGACACCTGAGTTGCCTAACACATTCACAGGATTGGTTAACTCTTGAGGTTCCAAGGGTCTCCACTGAGCACATCTGCTTTTAAATACATTTAATCTGGATGTTCTGGTACCGTTTCGGGAATTTAAAGTATTGATTGGGGACTTATTTGTGGAGGAATTTTTCTGGGTGATTTGTGATGTTTTATTTGTGCTTCCCATGACTGTGTTTTTGTATTTTAATATATACAGTTGAAGTCGGAAGTTTACAGACACCTTAGCCAAATACATTTAAACTCAGTTTTTCACAATTCCTGACATTTTATCCTAGTAAAGATTCCCTGTTTAGGTCAGTTAGGATCACCACTTTATTTTAAGAATGTGAAATGTCAGAATAATAGCAGAGCTTTTATTTATTTCATCACATTCCCAGTGGGTCAGAAGTTTACATACACTCAATTAGTATTTGGTAGCATTGCCTTTAAATTGTTTAACTTGGGTCAAACGTTTCGGGTAGCCTTCCACAAGCTTCCCACAATAAGTTGGGTGAATTTTGGCCCATTCCTCCTGACAGAGCTGGTGTAACTGAGTCAGGTTGTAGGCCTCCTTGCTTGCACACACTTTTTCAGTTCTGCCCACAAATGTTCTATAGGATTGAGGTCAGGGCTTTGTGATTGCCACCCCAATACCTTGACTTTGTTGTCCTTAAGCCATTTTGCCGCAACTTTGGAAGTATGTTTGGGGTCATTGTCCATTTGGAAGACGCATTTGCGACCAAGCTTTAACTTCCTGACTGATGTCTTGAGATGTTGCTTCAATATATCCACATAATTTACCTTCCTCATGATGCCATCTATTTTGTGAAGTGCACCAGTCCCTCCTGCAGCAAAGCACCCCCACAGCATGATGCTGCCACCCCTGTGCTTCATGGTTGGGATGGTGTTCTTCGGCTTGCAAGCCTTCCCCTTTTTCCTCCAAACATAACGATGGTCATTATGGGCAAACAGCTCTATGTT